ATAAACTAATAAAAAAATTTAACTTGAGAAAAATATGATCCAGGATCAAATATTGGGCGTTACTGATTTCAATCAAAACTGCCTGACTTTTATATACAGTGGTACCTTGGTACTCGACTGCTTTGAAACACGCTGAATTTGGTACTTTTGATGCAAAATTTTTTGTCCCAGTACTCATTGTTTGTTTGGTACTCAACTCACAAGCTAGAACCTGTCGCTGTTGGCTGCCTTGTGACTCACATTATTCCTTATACGGTAGTAAAAATGTGTTAAGTATTCATCGTTTTTGGTACTCATCACACCTCCTGGAACTAATTAAGGATGAGTACCAAAGTACCACTGTATATGATTTAATTAATGAAGGAGTTTTTCCCACTTGTTCCCAGCACAAAATGCAACTGTTTTGTACACATGTATAGTACCCATACACCTGTAAAACATTCGACATACTTGTTTTGAACACAGCATGTGTCAGAATATAATGAATAGTTTCCAAAAAGTATTTTTTGTGGAAGTTTTGTTTTGTGTTTCAGTAACACCAACCTGATAAGAAATAGGATTTGAGAGTTATCCCTTCAGATACAGCACTACTGGCCTGTTTGCTTTCAAAATATGGTTTCTTTCCCCATTTTTTAACCTTTTTAAAAAAGTCTACATGCAATTCAACTTCGGTTTTAATGTAGTTCTTTCTCTCTCTCTTTTTTTTTTATTCCTGTTCTATTTCAGTGTCTTGTGCTCCTCAGTCACACTTTGTTAGTGAAATTTGGTTATTACAAGATTGTCTTATTTTCTTTCTACCTGGAAGGAACGGCTGCAATTCTCATGCTCGCTCTGGGTCGAGAATATTACTATTTATTGGCTATTTATCTCACTGTCAACATGTAAGTAAATATTCACCATCAATTTTAGGAGCTGAAAAATACCGCTGGCAGTTGTAGGCTGCCAAAATGGGGGAGTCCAAGAAGATATATACTTTATGGTAATAGACAAACGTGACTTGTGTGGGCCAATTCACCAGATTATTTTATTTCTTCAGGGTGATGGTTCAAGCATCCTTCAGTCTGTTTAATCTACCATTGGCTGATATTGTTGATGCAGATTTAAAGAAACATAAAAGAAAGTGAGTACTATGCCCCCAGTTTTTTAAAAAATCATAAATGAAGCAATGGGTGTCATTATTACATGGATATTAAATTGTAATCTGTTTCCATTATTATATCAGATAAAGCCTGGCCTGTCTTACATTTCAGATCTCCGCTCTCATCCATGGTCTTTGGAACGAACGCTCTCTTCACAAAGCCGGCTCAGTCCTTAGCTCCGATGCTTGTGGTTTCTGTACTAAATCAATTTGGCTTCGCGGATCTGAATAGTAAAGCCGTCAATCCTGACTCCAGGTAGGTGGGCAGTT